TTTATTGAGTACCAAGTTCAATGCCAAATACCGAACTGGTGAGGAGGGAACAAAGCAAAGAACACAGACATTTAATACTTTATCTTCAGGCAAACTTGAATTCTCAATGCTTATTGGTCGACTCATAGCGACAAACAGTGTGACATATTACCATATTCCATGGTCCATGTCAAACCCCATGTAATGTGCTATTGTAACTCAACACAATGCACTATTTTTACGCTAAAAGCAATACGCACAACTGCAAAATTTACTGCTAATTCAAGGATGGGGCATTTGTGCACATATGCCCTTATAACATCTTCACTGTGCATCAAGTTTGCTTGAAGATAAATTCTTTATCACTTTTGCGGAACACAGAATAATGTAGTGCATCTTTGTCCCATATATCACTTGGCCAACTCACAAAATCCACAATGGTAAGATTACAAAATAAATTTAAGAATTCAAACTCTCCCAGATTTGTAAAAAAAAAAGTTTTAAGGAGAAAAGTACTTCAAGCGATTTTGTTGTAAAATCTTAATATTTATTAAATGATGATGGTCTGAAGTCATTTTTTTTAACATTCTTTAATCTTTCCTTTGAGCATTTACTGTCCAATGCTCATGTTCTTGAGCTTGTTCCTTCCTAATCAGTTCAATATTTGATGGTGAAATTGGTACAGTGGAACGCCGCAATAACGAACGAGACGGGGTCCACGCTGAATGTTTGGTACAGCGGTCGTTCGGTATAGCGAATTTAACGTCTGAACGTTTCGTTGGCATGTTGAATAGCGCCCTCTCTTGTCTAACCGAAGTGCACCCTCCTGTGATACCTTAGTTAGCTGTTTTTGTGATGTTTTGCCGTTGCATTCAAGTTTAAGGTTTCTAGAAATGTATCTGTTAATTATTTTTGTTTTTTATTTAAACTTGAGTCAACAAATTGATATCTAGTTTATTCTAAGTTGTGAAACTGCCGCTCAGGATTGATCTCCGATTCGCTGTGGCGAATCTCGGTTAATTTTTGTATCAGCGGCGCCCTCTTTTGTTAGTGCAATGCCACCATGCGCATACGCGCAGTTTTCTTCCGCACCCGATCACGTGGAGTCGCAAAACCAGCGTCTATTCAATACCATTGACAACTAGTAGCTTTCCCTTCTAATCCTTGGGGAAATAATGGCCACTTGTCACTTTCCAACATAAAAAAAACACCGACTGTTTATCATGTTGACATTCGGGAATTACAAACGGCAACTGAATAGTGTTCAGTAGGTTCTATGCACAAATATTTGGAGCCAAGGACGATGTTTGGTACAGCCGAATGTTCGGTATAGTGGCGTTCCACTGTACTTGACTGCAACCCTGCTTCTCAGTCTCACTAGTTACAGTGAGTGCATTCATTGCAGTGAAATTCTCATCTTTTTTTTTTGCTACAGAAACATACAGTAAAATCTCAATAACTCGAATCTCTGGGGAATGGACAAAAAATTCGAGTTATCCGCAATTCAAGTTAAAAGAAGGTCCCGATTTCTTTTGAAGTCAAGTCATTATTACGATGTGTATCATAACATGTACCTATATGCTGAGGCACAGTTACTGTAAATCTCTCTACGATGACTTTTGAAATGACATTGTGGTTATTTTATACTTTGGTGCCACAAGTTTTTGTTCATAGACATTTTTGTGGAGGATTTTTGTTGTCAATCGGCTGATAAATAGCACATTACATGTACTGTGAATCATTTAGACTGTGTACCTTTGTGTGGCAAATCTTTCTTTTGCATTGTGAATGTGTGACGCATTGTGATGGTCCCATTTCTGATACCGCACTGCAACGCAGCGCCTTTTGCACATGTGTACTCGGGCGGGGTTTCCCGATGAGTCAGACGACTTTTTCACCAAATAAGGGCACACCTTTTTGTGCTTCAATAAAATTTCGTAGAAACAAAAATGCTACTGGTGTCTTTCTTTATTTTTTGTTCTTCGTTCTTTATTTTCAAACTTTTGTTTATGTTTTGGGAGTGAGATTTGGCTATGCAAAAGCTCTGCGTTGCAGTCACGTGGTTGGTCCACTGTGAGCGAGCATGCTGTGGTTTGTGGCTATAATCGGGCAGCCATCGCACAGGCAAGCGCAAGCAGTTGGGCCAGACTTAGGCCGTGTCTGAAAGGGGCTTCCAGGGCTACGGCTAGGTCTACTGTCTGCGTATTTCCAACGGAGCAAAGACCAAGACCTAGCTCTAGACAACAGATTTGGATGCAGCCTTAACTTCTGTACGTGTGGCGCGTGCGGCATACACAAAGATCTCCAATGCATTGCCGCAGCCACCAAAAAGAGTCATCAGTCTGCTACAACGGGCCCACGGTAACAATTGGGCCAATTCCTGCAAGTCAGATTTTGCAGTCACAGTGTGGTTTATGTGTCTAGATCGATCGTCAATGTAGCGCGCTTCCAAGTGTTCCGGTGTGAAAAGACGAAGTGTGTGTGTCAGAAATGATTCATAACTAGACACGCGTTCTGTTTACACTTTCTGGAAGTATTTTGGTGGCAGTTTCTTTTGGATCTGCTACATAAAAAGTTCGAGGTAAACGAATCTGACAACATGAGCAGTTTGAGTTACGGATATGTTTTTGTACATAAAAGCCTATTCTTTCGGCGGGAATTGATTATTCTTGGAGTTAAGCATAGTTTCAAGCTAACCGACTTTGAGTTATCGAGGTTTTACTGTAGTCAAAAGCGAGGCCCAACGATTTCAGCACTTCCATTCAGTTACAACAATAAAGGTTTGAGAGTGACGGTGGAAATCAAGATGAAGCCACAATGGAAATGAAGCCGACATTTGGATAAAGGCTCTTCATGCTCGACAAGAGACTACTCTCATCAGTTCAAGCACAAAGTTCATTAGACTCACCTCCAGGCTGCTCAGGTTGTCGTCATTGATCTCCACTTCTCCTTTGTGCGTCTTTTTTGTCAGGGGTAGTGACTTCCTTTCGACTTCCTCATGGACAATCATTTCCAGAGACTAGAGAAGGAAAAGGAAAACAGATGACTTAACTCCAAGTCTTGGGTACTGTTACTCAAATACAAATCAAACTTGGAATGTTGTCAGTAGCTGTAGTCTTTCAAATAGGAAACAAAACCTGTTCTGGACTTACATGCTTAGCCTCCCGTTCTCGCCACTGTGCCAGTTCTTTGGATGCTAGCTGTTCTGACGACATGCGCACCAGCTTAGCCGCCGAGATTTCACCTTTCAGAATTCGGCGAAAGAGACCCTGGACAAAAGAACAGGCCGTAAGTTGAATGGGGTTAAAAAAAAAGGTGTTTAAAAAAGGTGAATGCTGCTCTACATTTCTATTTAGTTTCAGGAGCAACAAGCTCACACCACTATTTCTTTTACACTGACACGTATCTCAATTTTAACTGCCCTTGAGGAAGCTTTGCAGGACATGAAAATCAACTACCC